TCGAGAGAGAGAGAGAGAGAGAGAGAGAGAGAGAGAGAGAGAGAGAGAGAGAGAGAGAGAGAGAGAGAGAGAGAGAGAGAGAGAGAGAGAGAGGACGCGAGCAGATGTGGCCGCGCAAGGAGCCGTGCCTCGCAAGCCACCTCGCCACACTATATATAAAGTCTTGTGCCATCGTCAGCGCGTGCAAGATTGTAGGGTCAGCGGCCAGAAAGGAGCCAAACAAATCCATTGAATCACATGTTGTTTTTAAAGTTTGCATAAGTTCTCCACTGGACTCAAAACAAAGAACTAAACGAGAGATTAGAGGCAAGTTTCAAGTGCCACTAGATATCGTTTGAAGTCGAGCCATCGTTTTCCAAAGTATTTGTGTATTTCTGTTGCTTGAAATTTTGCAGCCGTTTTCTGACGTAAATAGTTGCCCTTGTTATCTTTTTAATTGTTTCACTGACGGATTTGAGTACCTGCCCTTCCAATTTGAAGAGTTATGTTTTAAAAACTTTAAAGAATCAGACAAAGAACTGAAACACTAGATCTAGATAACTGTTTCCTTTTTCACAAAGAACCAAATACGTATTCTGACGAGTTTGGGCTAAGGTTGAACTGACTGAATACATAAAAAAAGGGAAAAAAGAAGAAGAAAACACGAACAAAATACCCAAAACAGAAACGGGCACTAATTTTTTAAAAAAGAATTAAAACCCAGCATTTCATTCTAAAAAAAAAAAAAGAAAGAAAAAAGAGTGAGATATAATATCAGGGACTTACTTTGTGACTCTCATATATTCACTGCCACTAACTGTAGGCCTATTTGTCCTGCACAGAACGAAATCAAAACGCTATTTACCAACTACAGGATGTCTCACTCAAGCATGTCACCACTTTCTGTTCGGACTTTCGTCTTGGTAGCAGGACTTGCCGTGATTTCGTTCTCTGTCGTTGCTGATGCCTGCTTTATTCGGAACTGTCCTAAAGGAGGCAAGAGATCAATGGACATGCAGCTTCTTGGACAGCGACAGGTAAGAACGTGTGAGAAGAGTTGAGATAGTTTGTCAAGAGCTTTATTTCGACAATGTGTACAAAGGGAAGTTTTATGACTTTCCTTTTCTTTATGTTAACAGCTCTGTGTTCACCCCCCCCCTCTTCCTCCTCGTTTTGCTTGTCCTTCTCCTCCTCCTCCTCCTCCTCCTCCTCCTCCTCCTCCTCCTCCTCCTCCTCCTCCTCCTCCTCCTTCTCCACCTCCTCCTCCTCCGCCGGCTCCACTCCTCCTCCACCACCTCCCCCTGTTTTCTTCCTCTTCTACTCCTCCTCTTGCTCCAATTCGTTCTTCATTCTTCGTTCTCCTCCTCCTCCTTCTCCTCCTCCTCCTCCTCCTCCTCCCCCTCCTCCTCCTCACCATAGTTCCCGGCATCACCAGTTCCCATTACCCTCATCATTGCATCAACAATCTTCACCAGTACCCCTTACATCCTCTTTTTTCCCCTTATATAAAATCGTCTGAACAGAGTTTCATCTTCAACTTGTAAGAAAATAGTTTAGTATATTCAGCTATGAATTATATCTATCTGGTTTAGCATTGGGTATACTAGTCTTTCTCTGCTCATTATAATCTTCCTACATCCATGAGATCTCGCACACTCCTATCCCACAGGAGTATCCACAAACCGACCGCTCCTTACACAAAACGTTCAGACCCAAATTACAAAGGTATCTACAAACGTCCTGTGCCCTACAAAGTCACTGTTTGCGAACTGTTAAGTGAGCCCCCCCCCCCCCCCCCGAAACATTCAGGTGTGCTCATTCATTGTGTGTGTGTGTGTGTGTGTGGGTGTGTGGGTGTGTGGGTGGGTGGGTGTGTGTGTGTGTGTTCACTTTTTGTAAGGTTTAAGACAATGAGTACCTGCGCTGCGCAATTCTTTTAAGGAGAAGCTACCAGATTCTATGCCTCTTAAAGTTATTTTTTCTACCGAGCAGAATAACACGGCAATGATAGATGTTGACGGGGTTATCGTAAAGACTTTTCGGACATTCTACTTGACCTGAAAGGGGGAGGGGGGTATTAACTTTACCTTCGTTATCTTAACTTATGTTACTGCTATGATCTGCTGTAACACATGCTGGGGGTTCCAAAACGTCGCGAAAAATGTATGGTATCAGTCTATCCCGGTACAATAAGTTCGTATACTAATGTACTAAGTTAACGAAGCGTTCCGTCTCATATTGTGGCAATTGGGGCCATTAAAACCTTACTGCGCGTTTACGTAGGCTACTAGCAGATATAGTAGGCTATTATGCAACTCCTTTAATAAACACGTTCAGAGAAACCATGGGGTCCCATTGTGTTAAAAAAGGGTTACACGGTGGGGGAAACTATTTAAAAACTAAATTATTTTTAAAATTGCGGTACGATCATCTTTTTAAAAGTTGTGCGCGTGTATATATAGCTCGGTTCAGTCCAGACCACCCGTTTCATTTTTTTTGGGCAGTCTTAAGTACAAGCGTGCAAGCGTTGGCCTTTCTCGTGCAAATAATGTGGGCAAAGCAATCAAAAACTCTTTAGAGGAAAAAAAAGTGCTTCAGAGTGTATTTCAGTATGGTTTGGTTCGTGCCTCGTTTTGACCTTTAGCGAAGCTTTATGCTCAGCATTACTATTTGCCTGGAATGAAAGCGGGGTGCGTTTTCATTTATCTGTGATATCCTACAAGGGAATCTGTGATGTCATTTGATTCTTTTCTCTATCCACAACTTAAGCGATTTTTCCAAATGTCTAGCAGGCCCATCTAAAAAGGGCTTCTTTATCCACGATAGATCAATATAATGTCATTGGTATGAACACAGAAGGACATTGCACATTTGGGTATTGTCGAACGGGCTCTACTTTTTCTTGTGTATCACCAATAATTCTATCTGTGGCCGACATCTTTCTTGGTTCTTAAAATAGTTTTATCATATGGTTCTCTTCAATATAATAATGAAAAAGAGAAGGCATTGGAAATATCATTTAAAATAACAATCGCCACTTGCTACCAAACAAAGCAAATAAAAGTAAATGCCCCCACCTCCCCCAAGAATTTGATATTATAACCAAAAGAACAGCAACAAATGTAAAAAAAAATCCAGCCCCCACCCACCCCCACAATTAAAAAAAAAGAAAATATGTGGACGTTGATGTTTAGGCACTTCCTCTCATTAGACACCTGGCACTATGAAGCAGGCCTTTAGTGGTAATGCGTGATGTGCGTATGAAAATGCTTCTTTCTTGTGGCCCCTACGGTATCCTTTGAAAGATATAGTCACACTGGACTGTCTTTGCCAAGATCAGGGGTCTAAAGCTTGCGTAAACGCATTAATTTTTCTTATACATGTATTTTCATCTGCTTATTTTGAAGCGTGGGACAAATGGATTTTTTCGATGATGAATGACTAAAGGATTTGTAAATAAATTTAAAATGTCCCGACATGACTGAAAAATTCTGGAGGCAGGTGACTTCGATCCTGTATGTCAAGGCCAACCCATGCTGGGTCTGATACGGTATCTCAACAGACTTACACGATACTTGATAGGAAAAAGCCTCTTAGATCCCTTAGATAGGGACCTGAACTCCTGCTTTCTTTGCGCAACAGAAAAAGCCTACCATTACTTACACCACAGATGGCGTAATACCGAAATATTTAAAACACATTTGATTAAATACAGGTGTTTTTTCGCTCCCGTCGTCACAATTTAGATCATTATGAAGGAGAGCTTTTTACTGTGCCTGGCAGGACCAACCGGGGCAGAGAGGGATACAAGATCCCAGCAGAAAGACAGAGAGAGAGAGATACTCGATACATATTCTCGCCTCTCGGGAGTCAAACTCGGGTCTCTTGCGTGCGATAGCGGAACACTTAAACGCCACACCACAGACACCAGTACACTAAAGAATGAACTCCCCCCCCCCAAAAAAAATAAAAAAAATAATTAAAAATGGAATATTGCTAGTAAGGTGGGGTATGGCATCGAAAATAGGCTGACCCTCATTTAAAGACAAGATAAATCCCATCGTTGGTAAAGATTTAGAATATCCCTCCCACCCCTGAATCTTTACCAGGGATGGGATTTTAGAATAAACCAAAATAGGAAAGACAGAAATCCCAGGAACCCAATGGCGATTGCAGTATCGTTTGTTGTTAGGGGGAGGCTTTTATGATTTCTTGAGTTCTTGTTTTCTGCAAATGTTCGATTTTTGTTCATGAGTAAAACATGATGAAGCTTCGTTGTATATAGAGGCATATTGTTGTAAGGTATTTGCTAGCATAAAAAGGACCATGCACTACACGCATTTTAATAAACGTATTGTATGGGGTCATACTTATACTGACATCTGTTTTTAAACTACGCACTATAGACAGAGACGCACAATACCTTCCGTGTATCCTTCGTGTCATTATACTTTGGTCATATAAAACGCCACCAGACCATTATGAAGGAAATACTCGAAGGCAATATGTGGGTCAAAAGGGTCAAGGGTGGACAAAGAACAAAGTGGACCGATAACATCAGGGCATGGACTGGGCTAAGTCTGACGGAGTGTATAACGGCAGCTAGCGACGGTAAGCAATGGCGGGTCATTGCTCGTCAACCTCTGAGCCAGAGATGACACCTCCAGGTATCCAGGGAAGCCTGGAGTCTCGGCCGGCTTAAGCTTCAAACATTAATTCCCGTAGTCTGTTATTGGGTAAAAACAATTAGGGTTTGCCGCCGCAGTGGGCTGGTTGGTCAGAACGTTCTTTTGGACGTCTTTTTTATTATTGTAAGTCTGGTAGTAATGATCCCCCCCCCCACCCCCTGTCAATAGAATTCAGACAATTCATTAACTCTTTTAGGGCATAGCAGATACATAATATGTCCGACAGCAGACCAAAGACTATAATATAGCACATTTCCAACCATATCATCATACCTACAAATCAGAAACACAGATTTTGTACGTTTCTCGAAATGCCTATTGTTGTCTATTTACTTCGGGTTTCAGATATTTTTAAAATAAAAATAAAAACAAAGACAAAAATAAATAAACATGAATTTTTTAAACAATGTATTAATCTCGAGGTTATGCTTAAACTGCCCCAAAATAGCGGGTCTTCAAGCAAACAAAGTCGAAAGACCAGTATGACTCATGAGTGGCCTCAATGAGTTGAGACAAAATGAGTCATTCAGACGAAATCGGATGACGATCACAACAGAAAAGCGGACTGAAATGTCTACCCAATGTTGGAGTCAAACTTACACCGGTTTCTTTCTCTCCCCGATCAATCTCTTCTGGAAAAGCGGTATAAAGTAGTCTCTGAAGTATCAGGGCAAAGCAGAACAAACATTTCTTGTTGTTGCTACAGTTAAACTTACGAAATGTTTGCTTTTGCTCCTGTATTTATCACACATTTTTTCTTATTTAACTTTGGCTAAGAGTGTTAAAATTATTGTTGCTACTCTTGTTGAATGTTAAGTTTGTGCCATTATTATTGTAGCATTTATCATTGTGCATCTCTAAAACGCTGTTAATACGCTTCTATTTAATCCCCCACATCCCGTGTGCACGGGACACATAATATGCAAAGATAAGACGTCGAGAATAGTCCTTCAAACATGAATTGCAAAAACCGTGGACACCGGATGCTTCGACAACTAAGAACATTTTTTTAAACAGCCAAACGCTCGTTCAGAATTATGATTTCTTTTTTCTTTTCACGATCGTGTTTGCTTTTTCTTCAGTTTATGACAGTCGAGAATCATAAAAACTACAAAATCAAATTTGCACTAGCGAATTTTTGACAAGTGAACTTCCGGTTAAGTATTTTTTCCGACCCCCCGTTCAAATAAAACTTCAATTCAAGAGGTGGTAATCTGAGGAGAGGGAAATGGGCTGAATGATGAAAGTTGGTGACTTGGGTGTTAATGGTAGCATGAGTGTGTGTGTGGGTGTGTGTGTGTGTGCGAGTGTGTGTGTGTATGTGTGTGTGTGTGTGTGTGTGTGTGTGT